CTCTAGACGACCACTCAATGAACTCGAATCAGTGCCAACAGCTAACAACCGCCAAGGTCGTGATGGTGGCCGATTCAAACGCATCTATTCTTATCGCATTAGATGTATAAAAAAGAATTGAGTAAACAAATGTGGAAAAAAGCGCCTTGACATTAAATCAAAATAATTAATAACATTTAAAATTAAAAAAACAATCGAAGGCACAAAATAACATAAAGTTGCGCAATATTAAAAATTGCTTATCTATACTGTAGCGTCCCGAGGCTTCCCATAGGATAAGAAAAGGCATAAGTAAGGTTAAATTCATGTATTTCGAAGACGACAGGACTAAGGGGATCTCAACGTGGCCCGAAGGCCGGCCCTATGTACAGGGGCCAGAAAAACTCTAAAGTGACCGCCTAACGTCATGTGGTCACATAATCAATGTATTACACTGCCTCTCCCTTCTGTTGAGTGACGTTCTCGGCTCTCCTCTTTGATACACCTCCCGCACCAGCCATTACAACACATTCGGTAGTACAAGAAAGCACCCACGGGCCAACCGCACCAGTCGACAGACAACACGAGAGAGAGAGGAACCGTACCTGATCTTCTCGGCAGCTTCAACTAAATCTGCAGTTACGTTCGGTCTCACAACCAGATTCGGCGCAGTATACGCCTGCTGATCATCAATTGCTTCCAGAAATAGACGGTTTAACTCTGGTCTACAACAGATATGGTGCAGGGACAACGGGACGAGCCACTGTCCCGTATGCAAGGAGAACCGTAGTGTCATTTGCGACACCTAAACACGGATTTTGTATGGGAAACTCTAGCACGAAACTCTTCCTGATAGTTCACGGCGGTGTCGCTTCAGTTGGTAATAGCTTGTTTGTGGAATAAGGTGAAACCAAATGCAGACGTCAGTCTCAATCCTTTCGTTGTGAAGGATTCAGAGGTTAACCGTCAACAAGGTAAATACGCCTCCTTCAATTCACGTCCTTTTTCGCCTGTATCTTTATCTATTACACTTCGATAGAATCAGACATTCTTTCTACGCATGCATAGCTCATGATTGCCAGAATGCGTTTATTAATCTTGGATTTCTCCACTTAATAGTAGAATTCCTCTGCAGTCATGAAAAGAGAGGTTCTGACTTTCCGGCTGAGGGAACTCGATTTTGAGGTATTTGCATGCATTTAACCAGTGCATTATCCGATCGAACCGTTGCTCGTCGGCTTGTTCGTACCGTTCTTTTCCGGAAATCGGTCGACTAATTGGCAAAGTTTAGCGACGCAAACGTAAGATGTCAGTAAGAAAGCGGTGTCTGTTGGGCAACTAATTCGCCCGCACACTATGTCGATTTCAAAAGCACCTTGCACCTAAAAGTCGTTAAGAAAACGTCGGGCTCGCTTTCCGCTGCCACCAGTGTAGCGTCCCGAGGTTTCCAATGGGGTAGTAGAAGGCATAAGTGAGGTTGAATACATGTATTCCGAAGACGACAGGGCTGACGGGGCCTCAGCGTGGCCCGAAGGTCAGCCCTGTGTACAGGGGCCAGACAAACTCTAAAACAAACAAACTCTAACTCTACAAACTCTAAAGTAACTGCCTAACGTTGTGTGATCATATAAACAAAGTATTGTATTACTTTGTAGATTTTAATCGTAGTGCCTGACTGGAAGCAAATATTCGGGTCAGGTTTAAATTAAGTGTTTTTCCTCTGTGAGGGAAAAACTTTGCGCCTTTGCATAACCCGAGGGACAACTTACGCATCCATGCGCAAAATGGATATTAGAGTGAACGCCAGACCCATAGATGGCCAAGTAAGCAATGTTTTACATTTGCTACACCTGATAAATGTTCCGAAATTCATTGCTTAAGTGATACTTTGAAATAAAGAAGTGGATTTTTATAAGCTGGAGTCTACAGCAAGTTTCAGTCACTTACTTACTGCCTCTTTGTTCTTTTATTTGTTTACATCTTATATGACTTTCCATCTAAGTGATAATCGTTTTAATGATTTAATTGCTTGTGCCAAGTAGACTGGCCTTCAAGCTTATTTAAGTCCCATCTTTACCCTTCCTCTCTGACTACTAACATTCAGCCAAATTATACATTTCATAAACACATTGTAAGTCTCGAGACGCTGCAAACATTGTGACAGAATTAGAAGCATAAAGCCTGTGTCACTTTGTTTATGTCACCACCTGACTTTTGGCGGTCACTTTAAGATTTGTCTGGCCCTTGTACACATGGGCTGGCATTTGAGCTATGCTCGGGCCCATTTATCCTGTATCCAGTTACATTTACTGACTTCTTATACCGTCTAGGAAGTCTTGGAACGCTCTAAAGCCAGAGACTTTCCTTGCGGTGTTTTAAGATTGATTTCTTATACTCAGATGGATAAAATAGAATTGAAGCCAGGTCAGGATGGTATGGATGGATGGATGGTAGCCACCTAACCAAAATATTACTCAAGAATACGGAAAAATTCCTTATTTTTGATGGCTAAGCCTTAATGTTGAATACTTATATAGGAGGCGACATAAAAATTTCCCTATCATTAAATTCTTCTTCCGGTCTTGTGCTCTTATAAGTTTGCATTTAGGCATACGATGCATCTTGTTAAGTCCCTGGTAAAGAAGAAATAAAATGCAACATTAGGTCCAAATAAGCATTGGTCCAGGGGAACGGGATATAGAGTTCCATTGCTACTTAGAAAACATCTCGCCTGCGTTGATGCAATGAACAAAGAAGTTGAGCTTTGTCAGATCCTATCGTAAAAATATAGCCGCTCTATTTCTTGATGCGATCCCACGCAGGCAACACGGCATGAACAATACCGAACTATCGTCGATGTATACTTAACAGCACCATTTATAGGATATACACACAAAGCAAGGCATTTCTAACCGCAAAGTAAATGTTTGTGTACAGCAGATTAATGGAACTAAAGACATTGACGGTTTCCCCGCTGGCTCGAATCAATATCAATGCTTAGAACAAGTCCATTTAAAGCACTACTTTCCAGTATAATTTTTTATCTGTTCTTCATTGTTTTGCATTTGTCCGACCAGATCTGTAATACCTTGAGCTTGTAACCACCTGCATATGTTGCGGTTACTTTGCTATTTATCTTGTCCTTGTTCCCGTGGTTTAAATTAGGGCCAGTTCCCTTCTAATCCTCCTGGATTATATGCATTCAGCCCAACTTAACGCCTTTTTTCACTTAAAGGAATCTTACGGAAGGCGGAAAGCGAATCCGACTTTTTCATGATTTACATCCTGGCGTTTACTCCTTGTGAGTATCGGTTGCAGACCTGAAACTCTGATGTCTTCATAGCATAAAATTCCAGAATGATGCTCACGTTTGGTTCCACCTTGTCTCTTTGTTCAACAGACAAGGCATTAGCAACTACGAAACATCGCCGTGAACCACCTAGAAATATTTATTGTCGGAATCCGCTCTTCTAACTTCTTTAGTAGATGTCAGAGGCGACAACACCCCACACTCCCTTGTTTTCAGAACTGTCTGGTGCCGCCTTCCTTGTTAAACATCTGCTCTAGACCAGTACTGCAACGTCTAGATCTGGATTCAATTGATAACCAACAGATGTATGCAGTCCTGATTCCTGCACTTGGATTGAACGTAATTCCAGATCTAGTTGAGGCTGCTGAGAAGACGAAGTGCGATTCCAATGTCTCATGGTAGCTGATGACTGGTACGGCCAGAGCGTGGTCCAAAGGACAGCTCACACGTACAAGTGTCAGACGACTCAGTGAGAGCCAGACATCAGGTGGCCGCATAAACAAAATATTACAACACCTTATGTCCGATTGCCATGTCGCCGTTCGTCTTGCTTCTGTACGTACGAGCTAGTCTTTGGGTCGAGGCGAGGTTCATTTCCAAACTAAATGCCTTTACCTACTAAGCGAGGACCCTTGGGGCCCATAATGTGAAGTTTCAGGGCAACAAAATACCCATCTGGGTTCAAACGAATTGGAAGAAATGTGAAAGATGGCGGTGTCCTTGTAGCGTCCCAAGGCTTCCCATAGGATGGAAGATGGCTTAAGTGGGGTTGAATACAAGGATTCCGAAGGCGACAGGGCAAATGGGGCCTGATTGTGACCCCAAGGCCAGCCCACGTGTACAAGGGCCAGGCAAATTCTACAGTGATAGCCAAACGTCAGGTAGTCATATAAACAAAGTATTACAGTCATTTTGTAGAAACAGTAGTCTTTTAGTCCAAAACGGGACTAAAGTGGACAAAAATCAGATTCAATATTCAACCATTCTGGAGTGCTTTCTCCCAGATTTCCACGTACATAGTAAGCGACTATCTGTTATGCTAAGGTTTATTTTTAAAGTCTCCAGACATCCTACTGGGTGAAAGAAGATGTTAGCCATAACTACTTGCTTGTGTTCAAGAGGAGGCTTTGGGATGGCCCGAAAGACAATTTTATGCGACGAAACAAGATGGACACCAAAATGCTATTATACAGATGGCCAAACAAGCAGCATCCATTGGTTGCAGTTATCAGCATAGAGACCCTTATAGACTCCTACAGCCTGATCGAAAGCCACGCGGAAGTGCTGATAGAAAATTCCAAAGGGCAGATTTTTGTAAAACACTAACGACCAAATCTTCAAATTAACCTAAATTTTATTCGAGACCATATTCCATGAATATTTGAAGGGCGGCCAACTGTAGGCTTATCGCGGCGCAATCACTCACATCAAGCTTTTTGCTTGTTAAGTTTATTTGGCTGGCCTGTATACTAGCAAAAGGTTCTTAAGCGTTTATAACTCTGGTCTTAAATTAACGTTGCTTTTATTTTACAGCGTTTCTGAAAATCAATATTTATTACAGCAATATGCTTACGTTTATGAATCTCGATAAGTACTTTGCGCTGCTAAGTCTTTTTGGATCTTAATTTAATGTAAGGCTCTTTTCTGGATTACCTTGAAGGCTTTAGAGACGGCGCAATTATTAACTGTTAACTGACACTTAAAACTCGTTATGTCGTGGAGAGAAATGCGAAACTTTACAGAGATGATGAGAGAACTTGGATATACTCGCCTTATATCTTTAGAAAGCTTCCGAACCCCAAATTTTCCTTTAGTAGCGGAAATTCTGAGGTGGTTAGCCTTGCGTTTCGATTCGAATGCTGAAATACCCAAATTTTTGGACACCGAACAAGACCGCGTTATTTTTATCAAAGTAATTGTCCAATTCATGGCGGCAAAGGCATTTGTGAAATTGAGTGCCAAGAGGCTGTATAAAGCAGATGGATACGCGGTTAAAGAGATGTTGAAAATAGTCAACCTTCTACACTCCTCTCTGAAATTTAGTAAACAAGCAGGAGATGATGAGCAGCTTGATTTTAATTTGGCAGAACTTTTGAGTGTTGAGCGGGTGGGTTGGCGTTTTGATTAAGTTGATAAATTTTTTAGCTAAAGCAGCTTCAGCATACTCGTTTCTTAGCCAGTCAGCTAACTTCGTCAGGTGCGTCTCTATATTCCCACATGTCCCGGGAGGTTGACTTTCGTCAAGTTCGAAACGAAGCGGTTACTCGGCAGTTTGATATTGAATTTGTTGAAAAGTGCCTTTCTGGAGCTTGTGATGCAGTTCGAGATGAAATCGCCAAGACTGAATTGGCTCTAGCTAACGTCCAAACCGACGAAACTAACTTAGAAGGGAAAATTGAGAAAAAGCATAGTGAACTGGAGAGAAATCAAAAGAGACTTCTGACTTTGCAGGTGTTATAAGTTTTCGATGATGGAATTCTTCATGTTTTGGAAAAGGGCTAATTGTTTATCTATCTTCAGTCTGTTCGTCCTGCTTATATGGAAGAATATGAACAACTTGAGGAAGAACTTAATGTATACTACGAAACATATCTCACACATTTCCGGAATTTATCTTATCTGGAAAATTTGAAGGAGGAGTTTATGCATTCTGAAGACACCAAAATTCAGGAGGATGATGCAGCTATCAAAAGCGCTGCGGAAGATCTGAGGAAAATAACTGATGTAATTTAAATATTGTCGAATATGTATTCATATTTGTTTTGATTGAAGCCTTCCCTACTCTATTTATTGTTCTAAGCTTTCTAGTTATAGATTACTTTAAATCAAGGCAGCTTCACACAGATTTCAAAAGGTGTAAAGGGTGCTGGTCTTGATTTTTAAAGCACTAAAGTGGTAGGGGATCGGAAAATATAGATTTAGATTCCACAATAATCTTAATGCCTCATATCCTGTCATTCAAGGCACTATATTGTCTATCTTATATTTTAGGACTTTTCTTTAAGGTGACTAGACGGATTACAAAATTTTATGATTAGTTTTGCCAGGCTCCCTTCTTTTGATAATTTTCAACACTTGCATTTCGCCCACCGTCATTCCTGCAGGAGCAATAGCTAAGATGTCTTGCTATATTGCTGTGATATAAAGCGTCGTTGTTTTAAGCCACCCGCGGTTTGCATCAAAAACCTTCCTAAAAAACCCAATTGACGGTGAATAAACGAGTTTTGAAATGTATATGCCTGTTAGGGTGCAGAGAGCCTCCTTCACATCACTGATGGTGGCATCGGCGAGAGTATATTCACATTGAAAGGCAGTTCACTTCAGAGGAAGAAAAACGGTGCGACTGAGTTTAGCAATGCAAATGCAGGATCCGGTCTTGGGTTGAGCGAAAATTCTGAGGGTACTGAATCAAATAAATCGAACTCGGACAGTGACGATGGGGAAGATATAGATGATCAGGAGGGGTCCTCCACCTCTTCCGGTTCAGTCACCAGCGATAGTGAAACGGGGAGCGTAATCACTGGTGATCATGGGCACGATGCGAACGACAACGAAGACGTCATCAAAGGGCTCAGCATTGTTGGCACTGGTTATCGAATGTCTGGTACGTGGTCACCTGGTCGTGCCAGAGGTAATGTTCATGGCGAGGCAGCAGGCGGTGGCATCGGTGCTGATCCTTTTAGGATGGCTGTTGTTAATAATTCTTCCACACTGAAATCAGTAAGCTGGCCACACAAAATTTTCTTGACTAAGGGCGTTCAAACTGCAATGTTGAGTTGTTTGGTTCATTGGTTGTCTAGACAGCGAGGAACAGTTTTTGATCAACAAATAATTTATTCCTTCGTTCTAGAATGGAAGTGTGAATTCACGACATGGAGTGGACAGAGCCCTTGCTGAGGTGCTGGCAGAAGCGAAGGCTTTGGCAGAAGGCGTTGATTTGGCAAATGCAGTGGCAGAAGAAGGAAAGAGCGGGACTTACCGAAGCCATGTCTCTTCCTCTCGCATTACACGAATTCCTGAAGAGGAGGAGGAGGAGGAGGAGGAAGAAGAAGAGATGGTGGGTGAGGAGGAAATTGATGGAAAAGAAGATGATCCTGACGATTTTTGAGCTGTTACTGTTCCTCTTTCACATTTTGTTGCTTTACTTGCTAAGTCTGTATGCCCAGCATTTAATGAGAGACCTATTCACATTGTGAATAAAAGTTTTTAGCACACTAAACCAGTTTTGATGGTAATGCGCCGATCCTCTCTACCATCTCTATTAATAAACCTCTAAGCAGATCAAAAGATACCTAATTATGATGCTTTAACAACTGATAGTAGAGCAAGAATACGATGACATGATTTGTCACACAAATTCTTTCTGTTCCTGAGGATGAATTTTAAGCGAGCTATTTGGATGCTTTAAGAATTAAGAACACGCCAGTTTACAAATCTAATTTTTCGAATATTACCTAAGTGGTTTCCTTTACCGCCAATAGAGGGAATGCAAAATTTCGCATTTTCCGCAGTAACAATAGTCTCCTAGATTAGGTTTTCAACATCGGTCTTCTGAACTAGTTTCTTCCTAACGATGGCTTCTATTTTGCAAGGAATATTCCCACTGATGCAGTGTTCCCGTACACAAAATTACTATTACTGGCGGTTATGGGGTTTGGTGCTTTTTGTGGCCAGCGACTACCGAATTCTGGTGGGCATTGCCACAGATTTATTAAAGGTTCGCCGCTATAACGTTAAGTTCATCATGCCTCCTTCAGAGGACGTTTTATGGCAATAAAAGGTCCGGATAACCATCGAGACTCCGTTCCAATGCTACTCACAGCGTAGTCACTAGAAATGTGGGTATTCAGCTGCCAGAGTCAGTGTTATAATTTTTAAGACTGTGTAATGGCTGAAATCAATTTGGCTCAGCCCAGTCCAAGCGCACGCCTCCAAAGTATTCCATTCAACGTAGGACGCGCGCCCTTCAGTACCGCTGGCAGAGTCCGAGTAGTAGACAACACTATGAAAGAACTTTATTTAGTTTTGCACTTGACAACCATGCATCCAATGAAAGCATGAATGATGTCACTACATATGTATACGTGTTCCCGTTAAACGCATCAAAGGTCAAAAGAACAACCAACTTCGAGGAGGAAAATTACCATGATGAGATTTCATCGTTGTCCTAGACGAAGAAGAAAGTGGTCATTAGAACTTACAAAATCAAGAGACACCGCCTTACCGATAAAACGCACTTTCTTTAACAAATGCATGTGCATTCAGCTGTAACCTTCTGAAGAACTTGGCTATGGTTTAGAGCATCACTAGACTCACCAAATTCATTTTCTTAAACTCGATGAGCTCCATCAGAGTGAGTTCAAGTATGTTTCGAGCCGTTCGTTGCGATTGAGGTAGCTTTTGGGCGATTCCACAGACCTCCCCACAGTGGAGAATAAAGTATTCCAGATCATCTTCGGTACCTAGCATAAAGAAGCATTATACAAATTTTTCCAAACAAGCCTATCACTTTAGCTTCACTTTATGAGTGCTGTTCACTAATACGTTCTAATAGTGGATGAAATAAGGATGCAGCATTCCTACATCTATTCGCCTCTTGAGCTAAACGTGTTTTTTCGGAAGAAAAGTGTTCATCGAGGTCGAATAATTCGAGAGCTGGTGGTTCTAATTCACGAAAGTTGGGAGGAAACACCTATCAAAGAAGCAGAATATCGAGGTCATCAAACTCATTCAACTTTGACAAAACCAACATCAAATAGTAAAGAATTTCATGCCAAAGTGATGTTATTACAAAATATCGAACTAATTTTGGCAAGATTGATAAAATGAGAGTTTAAAGCCCGTAGACGCTAATGCCGTCAGTAGACGTTAGAAGGGAGATGTACAGATTTCTTAACATATTGATAGTTGTTAGTTAGTGCACAACGCACCGCGGGCTGCAGTGGAGGGAGAGGTGTTTCAAATTCTGGCGTTATCAAGGTGAGTGGTTCATGTTTGACTCGTAGTTTCTCGTAGGCTCTACCACAAATGAAATGGGCAAGCATACCAGCAAATTAGTCAAACAATATTAAAGCAGAAGGCTCTGTCACAACCACCTAGGGAAGGTGTCCAGAGTCAAATTAAAACTTGTGTCGATTGAGAAAAACACATACGCAAGAGCTTTTGGAACCATGGATGTATCCATCGCAAAGAGCTTCTGATCAAAAGCTGCATCAAGGTTGCGTGGGAGCTCATCACTCTCCTGAAGACATGCTTTTAAGTTGTTGGCCAATGTAGAGATATCAGGAATCTGAAAGTACATCTCAATCTCTGGATCCTGAGCGTCAATGGCGTTCAGCATGAACGTCTCCGAGGTTAGAAAGGTCATGATGACATCGAAGATCTTCGCGTTGTCCTCTTTGTTTATGTAGGTATCCGTAAACATTGCTACGCTCCCAACAACAGCCAATTTCCCCGACTTACCACTGGAACTCTATTAGAACCATAGAAACACTTTGTTCGATAAAGTTACTTGCAACAGCTTTTATTTACACATTTGACTCTGAGAGAATATATAATTTAAAAAGATGTTTTTTTAAAATAACTTCAAATTGAGCATACTTTAATATTACCTCTCTTACAAATGTAAAGGCAATAGGAAGTGATTTCAAAATACGTGAAAGAAAGGGCGAAGCTGCTTGCAAACTGAAACCAATGAAATATCCAGCAAAGCCTTGTGCAATCATAAATATGTTGCAGTAGACTTCTGCGGTTATAGATGAAACTCGAGGGAAACAAATAACAGCAAAATGGGCGATGAACCTCAATTTCACAGACAGCACAAACTGGCCGATTGAGAGGAAAAGCAACACTCCCTGTGGATAGCAAAACATTCGCCGGTTTTACGACATTCAATGTTGCTCCGAAGGCGTATAGAAATTGAAGAGCCTGCTTGGGACATACTTCATCACCACCTGGGTCGGTGGTGGCTCTTCCAGCGGCTTCACCGATGGCCCTAAAAGTAAATATGTGGAGGCATTGACAGAGGAGACTACTTTGACCATACCTTTGTTATTTATGGTATCCATCGCCTTTATAATTGGTGCTCCAGGTAGGGGAGACTAGGTCAGCCATGATTGTGACATCATACAGTGGATACAGATAAAGTTAACGTTAAATGTCTAGATAAATGTGCGTGCGAGGAAATGTCAAATGGCATAAAATGAGCTTGGAACATTTTGAAAATGAAGAGACAACCAGACTTTCCCAAATCACTTGACTTGTTCATGCAGCTCAATGTTTAAGTATGATATTCTTTAATATAGTCTCACACAACAACTGACCAACATTTTGATAAACTGGCATTAAAAGCAATGTAAATAGTATTTTGACGATTTAACGCATGCATAAAACATGTTTAAAGCGTGTCTCAAGACAAAGTAAGAAATAACCACAAATGGCTTTTGAAACACACCTATTTATTATTCCGTTGGGTATGTGCGCTTCTTTCGGGTGGAAGTATTTATAGTAAGAGGTCCTAACCACAGAATCTAAAAAGGCGACTAGGTTTAAAAGACAGTACCATTATTAACTAAGATGCCATATTGCTCCAACAAGTAGTTGATATTTGTTTGGTATTTGCTTTCCCCATTTTCTCCAAGTAAAACCAGAAGTGACCCACCTTTACTTAAAAAATCATTTATAACATCAAACTTATTGGTTATAAATAGTGCTTATCACCTACTTCATCAATGCTGAATTTTTCCATTGGACCTGTAATAATAAAAACCTTGGCACACTCAATTCGTTCACTTGTAATTTCATCAGTGTTTCTATACCTTAAATTACATGTGCAGTTCAGCATACACCAATACTTTCCAGGAGGACTTTAGACGTTTATTCAACTCCTTGAAGTGTTGGCCCAAAGTCGAAGCTTCCTTTTTCGATTGATCAAATAAAATTGTCCCAGACAACGGACGCTGCGAAGCCGAATCCCGAAGGGGAAGACGCATAGCCAGAAGAATCAATTTGTTGTTACTGTGCAAGGTTATTACCAGACGTTTAGTAGATTTAAACGCTTGGGGTGCTTATTAATTTCTCTGCATAGCATGCTTTACAAATGTCAATTAAAAAACGAACTAAGTAATCCAGGCAAGCGGACATATGGTATGCAATAACGTTGGAACCAACTAAGAAAAGTATCCAACATTGAGCTATCAAAGCGCAGAGAACAAAGTAGATTAAAGTAGATAAATCGTAGCATCAACCAAAAACTGGCCAAGAAGAAAGATATTATTACATCTTAAAAGCTTTTTTCGATGTTATGATGGGCACCGCCTAATAAATTTGACGTTGTAGACGTAGTAAATTTTTATTTGTTAGCTTGCATGATTAAGAATTTCAAACTTTTAAGTTAAGAATTGCACAAGGTATCTGTGCTGCCTTGTTAATGCAACTACCTAATATTTGACGATTACTTTAAGATTCACCTGGCTTTGGTGCGCGTGGGTTTTCCTTTAGTCAATCGCAGGGTTGATCCCTTGGTTCTTCCTAGATTATGTGCATTACGCTCCACTTTGTGCCTTCGTCTAAATAATGAAAAGTTTTAAGAAACTACGACACTCACACCAAGTCGGATGAGACGCATATTAAATAGTGATGTATTGCGCGTGATGTAACTCTATATGTGAGTACCCAACTTCTGAACGATTAATTTGATATTTTCCTTGCGCTAAAACGAACAAAGTGGCCATTGAGCCAGGCCGAGATCTCATTACTTTTTAGCTTCATAGATTACATTCAGATATCTCAAAACAGTGCCATCGTGTTTCAAATGAGAAAGCCATGAAACGCTTCAAATGCAGCTTACTTGAGAGAGGAAAAAGTTTATATTTGCTTTAACCCAAAGGCAAGTCTAGTGGTAGGCTTAAGGCCTTACTTAATGGTTGGCGCACTTAAAATCACCAGAAATGCCTTGTCTGGCTCTTGTACACATGAGCTGGACTTCTGACCGTGCTCAGGCCCAGTTGTTCTATCGTCTTCAGAATACATATACCAAACTCCACTTATTGACTTCTTGTGCCGGTCAGGAATTCTCGGAAAGCTAAACTGGTGGCAGCAAAAAGTGAACCCGACTTTATTTTTAAAGACTTTCTTATTGGGGCAGAGCCACTCTGCCGCCTGTTCTTCCTTGGTCATTTGTCAAAAGCAAAATAGTGTCCAGGAAAATCTATTTCCCAACAGACACCGATGTCTTACTGGCATCCTACGTTTGTGTTACTAAACATTGCCAATTAATCGACTGACCAATAGGATGGGCCGACGAGCAATCGTTCGAACGGATGCTGCAATGCATCAGTATCTACAAATCTCACAGGATCTGGAGATGTACGTTACTTTTTCTTGGTGTTAAGGCACTGGATTTGAATAATTATGAGTCTGATGACCCACTGAACTCCAAAATCGGGTTCCCTTGGCCGGAAAGTGACCTAGTGTCCGGGAAAATCTATTACCCATCAGACACCGCTGTCTTACTAGCATCCTACGTTTGTGTTGCTAAACTTTGCCAATTAATCGACTGATTTCCAAGAAAAAAAAATCATTTCGAACAAGTCGACGAGCGAGCATTCGATCGGATGATGCACTGGTTCAATACATGCAGATACCCCAAAATCGGGTTCCCTCGGCCGAAAAGTCGAAACCTCTCTTTTCACGACAAGAAGTTTATAATCCAACCAGCAGATAAGACTGCAACGGAGTTCCATCTTTAAGTGGAGAAATCCAAGATTAGTAAGCGCATTTTGGCGTTGCGCAGCGGCAATCATGAGCTATAAATGCGTAGAAGGAAATCTGACTCCATCGAAGTGAAATAGATGGAGATACAGGCGAAAAGAGGACGTGAATTGAAGGA